CGAACCGGTCCGGCAGCTCCCTCTGGAGTTTGGCCAGTGCGTCCACGACACACAAATCCACCCCCGAACGGAAGCGGTTGCGCACGCAGCCCGCGTTAAACTGGTCCGTCTTGGACGACGTGATCGTCAGCACTACCTCGTCGCAGTCGCCGAGCCACGCGCTGGGTGTGCCCCCGCGCAGGCCCTGCACGTCCTGCCCACGCACCACCCGCCCCATGCTCCAGGAGCGGTCTTCCTGGACCGAGTACTCCGACGCGCGGAGCATGAAGAAGTACCCGGTCATGAGCGCCGCCCATAAGATGGTTGCCTCTCGGCGCGTGGCCGTCCCGTGGGCGAATAAGTATTCGCGGAGCCAGCGCCACATGCGGGGGGTGGCTGGCAGCTTCCACTTCGCCTTTCCGCCCCAGCGGCGGAGTCCCTCGATCGTGGTCCAGAGCCGGCGCCGATCGGAGGTCACATCCCCGAAACCCGCCAGGTGTGGGCATGCCGAATGGCGAACAGGCGCTGGCGGATGGTCGTGGCCCGCCCCTTCATCACCTTGTACAGGTACACGACATATCGGATGAGGTCATCCTCATCCGTCAGGCGGGCGTCCCGCGTCTCCCCCTGGAGGTGCGGGCTCCGGCCTCGGAACCTCCGCCAGAGTACCCAGTTACGCCACCCAGCGCTGTAGTTGGCGCGCGTCCCTTCGGCGAGCTTAGCCAGCATCGCCTCGGTGGCGGTCGCGTCCAGCTCGCGGGGGTCGGTAGACTCACCCCGGACCCCTTTCGGGGCGTCTCCGCCGGCGTGACGCCAGGCCGCGGGCTTCACCATCGCGGGGGCGGGGGCGCTGCGGGCGCGCCGGCGCGTCTTGCGCGGTGGGCGCGCCTCGCCTCCCGCGCCATCCTTGGCGCCCGGTTTGGGCGTCCCCGCGTCCTCCGGGACGGCGAAGGTCACTGCCCCGACCCGCTCCCCGTCTGCCCCGTCCTCCCCTGCCGAGGTGGCCCGAATGGTGGCAAGGGGGTCGAGCTGGTCCGCCAGCCGAGCAGCGTCGTCCGTCGCCTTTCCCGCCTCCAGCGCGACCTCGAATGGCCCGCTTGGGCGGTCGGAGGCCTGAAGCCAGGCCCTCAGCCACAGCGTCACCATCTCGTCGTTAGCGAGTCGGTCGTAGTCAGGCCCGACGCCGGCGCGCGCCCCGGGCGCCTCGTCTGCGCGCTTGCCACCTCTACGGCCTGCCTCAGCAGGCGCTCCGCCCACTGAATCACCCAACGGGCCGTGCGGCGCGGGAGTGCGCGGGCGGCCTGCCGCGTGCGCTCGGCGATCGGCATGCCTCCCAGACCCAGAGCATCCCACAGCTCCGCCGCGCCCCCCTGCGCGCACCAGATTTCCTTCGGGCGCAGGGCTCGCGCGGCCCAACCAGCCTCGGACCCCTCAAGGACCAAGGTGTTCGCATAGCCCTTCAGTGGGTCGGGCTTCGCCCGAGCCGTGTGGCAGGGCCCGCGCGGATCATGAATCGCTACGCGCTGGGCCCGCCCACCCCCCGCCGGTTGCCACGTGCCGCGCGGCCAGGGCATCGTGCGATCCCCAGTCGTCGAGATCCGGGGGTCCACGAGCAGTGTTCCCTCGCTGAGGTCCAGGCGGAGTTCATCCAGCGGCGGCCGCCCTGCCTCTCTCCAGAGCTGGCAGAAGCCGCGTGGCTCCACGCAGGGCTGCCCCAGGGGGGGGGTGGGACCCGGAACCCGGGTCCGTTTTCCACGCCCCCAAACCTGGATCGCCCGCGCGCGCGCCGTGACATCGCCGAAGTGTGTGCACAGAAGACGCGTCTCGGGGGAGAGAGCAACATAGCCGAGGCGCCGCAAGCGCGCACCCAGACGCGCTGCGGCGTAATTGACGGGGGCGTCGAGCAGCACGCCCAGCGGCCGGATGGCGATCAGTGGTCGCTCCAGGCCCGCTGCCTCGCGTCCGCCGGGATCCTCCGACAGTGACGCGCACGTCCAGCGGACCTGTGGCGCCCCTGCGGGGTCCTTGGGGTGGTCGCCGCCGTCCGAGCCCCATCGGTCGCCGACGCCCCAAGGTGCCGGCAGTGCCGACCCGCCAAGGCCCCCCCAGGCCTCCCCGAAGGGGGGCCGCGCGGTTCCCACCTCCAGTAGCCGCGTCCCGTCGACTTGCAGGGGCGCGTAGCGTGGCAGGGCCTCTCGGGCTCCCTTGACTTGGAGCGCGGCCGCACGCCAGGGGCCATCGTCTCCTGGCATCCGCAGCTCGCGCTGGGCGGCCTCCTCCACCAGCTCGCCCCACGGGGCTGCCGGTGATAACTCGGTCCATCCCGCCTCCGCCATCCGCTGGCGTACCTCCGCCACCGTGGCTCGAGTCGCGAAGTCGGCCAACTCGTTGTGGTAAGTTCGCAGGTCAAGTCCGTCCACGACCCGGAACTTGTACCGTAGCTCCAGCATGGCCAGGACTCGAAGCAGGTGGCGCGCCACCGCGTTCCGTGCACGGCGGCGTCGCAACCAACGACTGACATTACTGTTGTCCGTGACGTACGGCAGGAGAAGCTGGAACCAGTCCGGGCCTTTCTCAGCCGCCAGTGCTATCAGGCAAAGGAGCTCGACCACCGCGATGATCTCCCCCTCTCCCTGCCAGGTGACCCCGGGGGCGGAGCTGGGCGTCTCCAGGTCTCCAGGTAGGGAGCCGCCTCCGCCACGATGTATTCGCGCGAAGTCCCAGTCCAGCGCGCCAATCCGGTCCAGGGTGGCATCGCCCCCCAGCCAGCGCAACCTGCCGAGCGCCCCCGGGGGCGCGAGGGCCTCGCGTAGGCCTAGCAGGCCTTCAAAGGAGGTCTCGAAGTTACCTTCGACAGGCATCTCAAAGCAGACGCGCAGCCAGTCCAGGGTCTGGTGCCAGTCGTCCCACGCAACCTCTACCTGCTCGGTGTCACCCGGCGGGTGGACGCAGGCCTGGCCTGGGTCTCCCGACAGCATCCGGTGGACCGCTGGGAGCTCCAGGCTCAGGGCGGGAGCTGCGCAAGCGCAGAACTGGCCTAGCCCACTTAGCTCCCTCGCGGTTCGCAGCCGTACCATGCGGCAGCCGAAGCTCAGCTCCGGCTCCGCCAGGAGGAATCGCATCTTCATGGCCTTGGGCTCCGGGAGTCCCACTCGCTCGCGCTCGAAGTCCATGCTGAGCCCCCAGATAATCTAAGTAGTAGAGGGCTCCCCCTCGGCGTCCCGTTTGCTGGCGTTCACCGCTTCGGACCCGAATACCTCCCGTATGGAAGCGTCCAGCGCGTCGCAGGCCAGCCACGGCCGGACCCCGATGTCGGGCTCCACCACCACTGGATCATCCATAAGCCACTCCGAGTGGAAGTGGGTTGCGTCGTGCCAGTTCGGCTCGCCAGGCCGATAACTCTCGTGGAGCTCCCTGGCCGCCAGGGCGAGCATCATGTAATTGCCTGGGGCTCCTGTCCACCCAAACGCCATGGCTAGGTAAACGATTCTGATGTCCCCCTCGATGCCGGCGCGGGCCCCCGGTAACGAGGTGCCGAAGTCCCCGACATCCGCCGGGGCGATGTCCAGCCACTTGAAGGCCCGCGAGACGTCCCGCTCGGCGCAGAGTTTTTCCTGTAGGCAGCTGCTGTGACAAGCTTCCGTAGAGATTGGCAAGTAGGAAAATATGAGAGAGCATAAAAGCCAGGGTATCACTAGGTCTGGCATTTGCTAAGATGAAAACCCCAGAGTGGACATCATGTCTGCTGCGTCGCAAGGCCCTGCACAATTGGCAGGAAAGCAACATTCGAATTCGCACCTGCTGCCATCAGCCGAGAGGCGACCTCCAACGCCGGTGCCCTCAGCGACGGCTGCTGCTGCAACTCCGAGAGCACAGCTTCGCCGTCAGCGAAGCGGCCCAGCAAGGCAACGTCAGTGTCGTCCAACTCTTTCGCATCTTGTGAAAAAACTCCAGACTGGATGTCCGTGGCGAGGTCCTCACGGGAGGCCTCAAACATGGAAGGCATCGCGTCCGGAGGAGCGCCAGAAGCCTGCAGCTGCTCCGGACCGGGCTCGGTCACATGCGAACTCACCTTCTTCTTATTCTTCTTGCGCCGATTCTTCTTCTTCCTCTTCGGGGCCACCTCCGTAGCGCCAGCAGCCAGCGAGGGTACAGAAGAAGACGAGGAAATATCATCCCACTCGTGATGGACACCGCCACTATGGGCTGACATGTCCAGGACACCGCCACTCTGGGCTGACGTGCCTACACCGAAATTCGACTCCGAGGCACCGCCACTGACGGCTGACGTGCCAGAGCCGTCAAGCGTGACACCGCCACTAAGGGCTGACATGTCGGAGGCTGCACCTTCACCACCTGCATCGGGAAAGGGCCCGTCGCCGATGTAGAAGGTCTTCACCTCCGAGGTGGCGTCCGTGGGATCCTCATTCCTGCTGGCGGAGTCGGAGGTGACGGCGGCGTGGCCGGAGCAGGCGGCGAAGGAGGCCACCACCCCATCGCCAAAGCTGCGATTTCCGTCCTGTCCGGCTCCTGACCAGTGGGCATGTCCTCCGTCATGCGCTCGAGGATGCGCTTGTAGTCGCTCAACATGTGTTTGCGACGCCTCTTCTTGGGCGCCGGTGGAATGGTAGTGCTCGTATTGGTACCCTGCTCCGCCGAAGAACTCGCCGCATCCGCCGCCATGGCCCTGGGGGGCGAAACCGCCTGCACCGTAGCCACCGGACTGGGATGCGATCTGAAATCCACAGGCGGGGGGGAAAAGGGCGAGATCACCGGAACCTCCACCTGCGGCTTCACCTGCTTGTCGGACTGCACCTCCGAAGCCCTCTGCGCCTCCACAGCGAGGCGCAGGCGCTCCCAACGCGGGAGCTGCTTCACCGGCGCCTGCTCGAGCTGCTCCACCTCCGCGGGCTGCCGGCAGCCATGTGCCGGGGGCGGCGGCGGCGGCGGGTGGCAGAACCGGCGCTGCGAGTCCGCCATCGAGAAGAACAACGTCTAGTGAGCCGAAATGCGCTGCAAACGCTGCAACGCGCGCCCCGAGGTCGCCGTTGACGAGGTGCGCTGGCACGAAGATGCGCAACTCGGGATCCCTTGATACCATGCACCGGTATCCCCCCAGCGTTCACTGCCGCACACCTGGCGGAAGCGCTCAAGCCAGCAGCACAATGGCCATCAGCCCTGGGGAAGGCGCGAGCTGGCAAGGATCCTGAAACGGCTCGAGCCCGAGCTTGAGCCGCTTGGCGCAGAGAAAGCGCGCTCCGGGATGACGCGCGCGGTGCCATACCGCCGTCCTCGCCACCTGCCGATGGCGTGGCTGGACGGCCGGTGGGGCGCTTATGGGTGGCGGCGTTGGCCGAGAGCATCACGTGGATCATGCGCCCCTCGGTCGATAGGGTTCTGTCCGGTAGCTGCTTCGGGGCCCTCCCAAGGGGGGCTTCCACCAGCTCCGTCACGAATCCCTCTGCCGCCTGGGAAGCTACCAAGACGATACCCCACGTCACATCAGCCCATACCTTCTGGTAAGCCTCGTCGATGTGGGCTCGCACGCTAGGGTACGGCTGGGCCCGCTCGCGCCTCCGCGGCGCGCCCCGGCGCGCAGCTGCCCCCCCTTCCGCCAGCTCCCGGACGTACTCGAAGTGCTCTCGGCTTAAGCACCGCCGCACCTTGTCCCCCAGGACACCGCGGAGAGGGTTGCCCAAGCGCTCGTGGCGCGCGCGCCTAAGCAGCGCGGCCGCCTCCTTCAAGGACCCAATCCGTTGGAGGAGCCGATCCCCCAGACCAGCCAGAGTCCGCATGGCCTCGGGGTCATGCTCAGGGTGCTCCGTGCAGAAGGTCAGGTAGACCGTAGCTAGCTCAGCCGGGCTGCGCCCGTCGAGGTCCTCCACGATGTCTCCTGCCGGGTACTCGCAAGGGGAGCGAGGCTTGCCCGCGCTCGCCCCCCCCTTTGTCTCTCCCAACGGGGGCTTGGGAAGCCCCGCCAGTGCTCGACGCATGGCTGGGCTGAGCCTGCCGCATTTTGAGCCGTCCCCCGAGGCCTGTAGGCGCTCGATTCCAGTGAAGTCGACGCCCTGCAGGCGCCCGGGCGCCTCCGCCTGGGCAAAATTGGGGGGCGCCCCCGGGCCATCCTCCCATACAGGTGCCAGTTGCCGTCGCAGCTGGCTCACCGACCAGCGGTGATAGGCTCCCTTCAGAACTTTTGCCCACGCGGTGCAAAGTCTGGGGGCCCGAACCTGCGCCTCCTTGGTGCGCTTAATGCCCGTGCCGGGCACGTGGTCCTTCAGCTTGACGTGGCGGTGGTCGCGTGGGCATCGGCGTGCCAGCAACAGGGCGTGCAAGTACAGCCGGGAGCTGTCGAGCCACCAGCTGCCCTTGCGATAGCGGCTCTCTGGCGCATCGGACGGGGCCTTACCCAAGGCGCACATGTGGATCGGGACGATCATGGCCCCGGTCGCTCGACGCAGCTCTTGCATAGGGGCCTGGTCCCAGATCTTGGGGTAGCGGCCCGAAGGCCAGGAGGACTCGACGAGGAACTCCTTGCCGGCATCGTGGAGGATGCGGCAGGTGTCGCACGTGAACTGGGTGTGGCTGTTACCGACGAGCTCGAACTCCTTGGAGCCGTCCCCCTCGGGGCGCTCCCACGTGCGGGTCCCCTGCGGGGCCCCGACGGGCTGGGTCATGAGGCCGAGGTCGGTGTACGAGCCACACGGTGTACCCCAGCACCAGACGTTGGCCACATCGGGGCCCATGGGGGTCCGCGCGGCCTCCTGTAGGCGCGCGCGAACAGCAGGGTCGAGGGCGTCGTGGTCCGGCCGTGGGCCGGACTCTCGGAGTGGGTCGTCGTAGTATTCGATCGGCTCCAGCACCCGGATACCCTCGGCTCGAAGCGCGGCAGACCAATTCCCAGACCCGGCATACACCTCCTGGGCGACCAGACCGTACGCGAACGCGGGGTCGTGTCGAAGTGGTATCGCGTTGGCCTCCAGGAGGCGGGCCTGGACGTCTGCCGGATGTTATCCGAACGAAGCCGGCGCGCGCCCAACTGCGCGGCCAGCCCGACCTTCCGCTGCCTGGCAGCGGGTGCAGGGCGCGCTCTTGCCTGGGACGGTGGGTTCGACGTCCGGGCCCTCGTCGAGCATCTCGCGCCAGCCGGCGCTGACGATCTCTCGGGACAGGCTGCCCGCGTGCCCCCAGCGCTGGCCTAGGGCCACTGCCTCCGCGCGGGTGCCAGGGCGCAAGACGCGCATGTGGCCGCGCCAGATCAGGAGCGGGATAACTCGATCCTCCGCGCCAACACCCGTTCCCATCAGGTGGTCGACGCATAGGCGCCCACTGCCATTGACGCGGTGCACCTGGAGCGTGACGGCGTCGAGGTCGGCGACGGGGCATGCTGCCAGGCAGCGATAGTCCTTGTCGTGGTGCGGGTGCACCGCGTAGTGGACGTAGGATCGGACATCGGCCTCCGTGGCCGTAATCCACGGGGGCGAGTCGCCCAGGGCGGGTAGCGCCTCGTGGGCCTCCTCCCACAGTGCGCGTCGGTACTCCGCGGCCAACTGTTGCACCGCATCCGGGCTGGGCTCACCCTCGCCCTCGCCCGCGCGCAGCAGGAGCACCCCGGCAGCTACGTGCAGTAGCAAACATTGCCGTTCCTCGGTGTCGCCCACCTCCAGGCCCATCGCCCGGGCCATCTCCTCCGCAGGGCTGGGGCGGTCCCGGTAGTCGAGGAAGGCCCACTGGACGCGGGTGTCCCCGTCCCAAAAGGTGTAAGACCCGCGACCTATCAGTCCGTCAGCATCCCAGGCGACCGGGCCGACCTCGGCCCCGCCCTCGGAGACGCATCCTGCGGCGCAGCTGAGCGCCTCGTGCAGGTCGGCCGCCTCGCTGCTGAGTCCCCGATGGCCGCGGTCCACGGCCTCCTCGAGGGCCCGCTCCATGGTGAGGCGCTCCCCGCGCAGGCGTGCTCCCATGACGCGCCCGCGCACGTGGCTCTGCAGATGCTCACTGGCCCCTTTCAGAGGCGCGAAGATGCCTTCGGACTCAAGCTCCTGCATGAGCTTGCGGCGAAGCTCCGGTCCCTCCCCCGTGGGCTGGGCGTCCCAAGTGGCCGCCACTCGTGGGCAGTCGTGGTCCTCGAGCCATCCGAAGTCGGGACCCTTGACCGCTTCCCGGAGGTCGGACTCCATCGCGGTAAGCTGGAGAGTAGCGTAGTCGTCCGGGGCCTGCCCAGGGCCCGGGTCGCCCGCCGCTCGCGAGCCACTGCCCCGGCCACGGCCCTTTCCCCTCGGCCTCGGCTGCCTTGGCTTGCGAGCGCAGTTGCGCAATCATCCCATCCACCTGTTTGGGATCGATCCGGGGCGTCCCAAGGAGCCCCCCGCGCCTCGTGAGCTGCATGACCACCGTGTAGTCCGGCCCGCGCGTTGACTTGATGGGGCCATGGGAGTTAGGGCAGTCGCAATTGGGCCCCGCCTTCGGCTGGGGCCCAGCCCCCGCCTTGGGCCTGTCGTCGCCTAGCGCCGAAGGCTGGGACTCGCCTATCTCATCACCCCCTCCCGCCTTCGGCGGCCTCTTCGTAAGGTGGGCGTTCAGTTGCCCATTGAGGAGGCGCGTGAGCGCGGCCTTACGCCGGGGCACAACTATCTGCTGGTAGTAGGCATTCGGATCCCCGAAGTCGAAAATTCGGGGCAGGTCGTAGCCATTCTCCGACATAATGTACTTGATGTCCTCCTTCCTTGGGTTCTCGGTGTCGAGCTCCCGGCAGATCCGACGTCTAAGCTCCCGTAGCTCTTCGACCCAGGTACTCCGGAGTTCTTCCCACAGATCCTTGACCCAGTGGTCTGGGAACTCCGAGGGATCCTTCTCGAAGGCCGCCTCCAAGAAACCCAGCGACCGCCGACGTTCAGCCCCGTGCGCTACTCCCACGATGGACTCGAACATCTGGATCTCGCACCAGCCCTCTTAAACCAGGTCGCCACGTGTGCGGCGGGCCGCTGGCGGGGCTCCAATTTGTCGTCCACAGGGGACCTGTAGCCGTCGAAGTCCTCGTCGCGCGCCGGGATGCAGTCATCCATTCCCAGGTCGTGTGGGCCAGTCCCAAAGGCGAGCGCCGCGTAGCCGTGAGCCACGCGGTTGGCAACGAAGCAGGGAAACCCGATCGTCTTGAGCGTGCTCTTGGAGTGCGCACACATGCGCTTGAGAGGGTCGAACAGATCCTTTCCAGTGATCCCCTCGCAGGCCTCGACCACGAAGGTGTTGCATCCTCTGGCTATGTAGAGATCCAGTTCCTCGTCCCGGCCGATCCCCGCCCGGGTGCCCCGGGCCTTCTTGTCGCCCTCGGTGGCCCGCGCCTGCCGCTCGGCGGCAAGGACGTGGCGTTCGGTGAGGCGGTTCTGGCGATCCAACCGCTCGATGATCTGGGCTCCGGCCTCGGCCGCAAGGCCGCCCAGGGCCCCAGGTGCCCCGGCGTCGTCCGGACCACCAGCACGCTCTCCACCCATCCCGCCCCCGTGGGGCGACTGGCCGGTGAGTTGCCCAATGACCGAGGGCCCGTCGAGGAGCGGATGGGTCCCACGAGCGGGCCCCCGCGTCCCCCGCGCGCCAGTAAGTCGCGATCGCCCAGTAGGCCGCGACGCGGGTCCGTGGGTCGGACGGCGGGCATGGCCCCGAAGAGTTCACGCCGGGGCACCTGCCTCGGGCTGGGATCCCGTCCCCGCGCCGAGCGGCTCCGCGATCCCTCGCGTGAGAGGCTGCCCTGCAGGGGGACCTTATCGCTGGCCGCGGCGCGCTCCCGCGCGCGCGCCTCCAGCTGCGCATCCTCCAGATCAGCGAGGGCGCGCTCCAGCTCGGGCCCCGAGGGGCCCGCCGCCGCCACTTGAGCGACCCTCCTCCGCAGCTGCCGGTCCGCCTGATCAAGTGGAATCCCGAGTAGGTCAGCGGTCATACCCAGCGCGCTGAGGGCCGCTGCTTGGCCCCCTCGTCCCTTGAGA